TAGGCTGGTCCTGGAACGGATTGCGGGCTTGAGGACCCGCTGAGAGGTGTGGAGCCCATTGTAGCCAAAGGGGCATAGGCTGGTCCTGGAACGGACTCCGGGCTTGGTAACGGGGTTGGAGGACCGGAGATGGCTTTTGTGGAAGGCGCAAAGTCTGGTCCTGGAATGGATAGTGGGCGGGATAACAAGTCCATGGGAGTGGGGAGAATAGTACTGGAAGGGGTAGAAGCCGGTTCCAGAGTGGACTGCGGATTCAATAAAGGGCTCGGCGGAACGGGTTCAATAAAGGGCAAGTGACTAGAAGAAGAAGGGGATAAATGTGGTGTCACTGGGGTAATTTGCCCTATATAATCCTGATCATCTAACGCTACTAGTGCTTCTGGTGGATGTTCGATGGCCTGATCGCTGGGACTCAAAATGCTATCAGATGTTGCAAGGGGTGCCTCGGCAAAGGAGGGCGTCGACAGCTCGGGACTTCCTAGCGGTGGGTGAGAAGGAAAGAGACCGAAATCAATGGCTACGTTCCCAACAGGCATTGGCGCCTCTGTTCCAGAACCCTGCAGTCCAGCAATCCCTCTGGGGCTCTCCGGAAGAGGTCCCGACTCATTTCCGCCTTCCTGATGAGGACCAGTGCCCTGATAAGGCAACCTCACGGGTGTGTTCGGAGCTAAGTCCAGCAGGGTGGATGGCGACTGTGATCCGGTTTGCTTGATGCTACCAGGTGAAGCAGAGGGCAGTTTAGTCTGAGGGGCAGATGCAGGACCAGCTATAGACTGTGCCACAGGAGGAGCAGAAACATGCAGTGAGTCAATCGGAGAGGAAGGTCGTGGAACAGCCATCACTTTGGTGAAGTCTTCATAATCATAATTATTGTATGTTGGTGCTCCCTCTGCCTCATGCTCATCGAAAGCACGGACACTGCCATTCGATTGGGTATCAGAGGTTCGCATGGGTGCTTCCGCCAGAGAGGGACCAGAATCACCAGATGATGGCTTACTAATCAATGGTGGGTGGAAAAGGCTGGGCTCCGAAGGAGAATTGCCAAAAAGGCTACCAATAGGCGGGGATAAGGAGAAGGGAGGCAGGTCGCCCTCGTGAACTGGAGGACCTGATGGAGGGGTTATGGATGAGGATTCGCACGTGATACCCACACCTGTTACCTTCCGCTCGCTGACCAAGGCATAAAGAAACGGTTGCAGTCCATCACAGCAGTGTGGTGGCCAGTTCCTTTTTGCCGCCAGGAGGGTTGGGAAGGACAGTAGCGTTCCCTCTTCGATGCATGTGGGTGAGCTAGATTGCAAGGGAGCAAGTGGAAAGGACTGGACCGGAGGGCCATATCCAGGAGAAGCTGTGTGGCTACCACCACTAGCCTGCAGGGTGCCATTGATTGCCAGGGGAATCTCTGCATCATACGCAATGTGCGATGTTGCGGAAATGGCGGGTCCCGGAGAGTAGGTTTGGGAACTAGAAGTCGGAGAGAGCGGCGAGGGAGAAGGACCATATCCAAACGAGCTCCGATGACTTTCACCACTAGCCAGAGGGATGTCGTTGCTTGGTAGCTGTATCTGTTGACTAGACTGCACTTCAGATACTGCAGGGGCAGATGCTGGACCGGCAATCGACGGCGGGAGAGGAGCAGAAACATGCAGTGAGTCAATCGGAGAAGAATGTGGTGGATGAGCCATCACTTTGGTGAAGTCTTCATAATCGTAATAATTGTAAGTTGGTGTTCCCTCTGCCTCATGCTCATCGGAAGCAGGGACACTGACATTCAACTGGGTATCAGACATTAGCGTGGGTGCTTCCGCCAGAGAGGGACCAGATGATGTGTGACTTATCAATGGTGGGTGGAAAAGGATGGGCTCTGAAGAATAATTACCCAGGCTAGCAAAAGGTACTGATGGTGCTGCTACGAAACTCTTCAAGCCTCCCGGACCTGGCAGTGTCCCAGGTGAGATGGGAGCACGGCGATCTCCTGCAGTCAATGGGGCGGGTGACATTGACGATCCAAGATTCCCAATAGCACCAGGTGGAGTGGCTGGTTGAGCTTGAGAGGCTGGCCCGGGAGCCGACTGCCAAATTGATAATGGGCTCATCAAAGGATCTGGTTGAGTTGGAACTGATGGTGCAAAAAGAGGTGCATAATCATAATGTTTCTTTTCCGCTTCTTCTTGCCCATGCTCGATGGCTGGAATGCTACCACTTGATTGGCTATTGGAGGTTGCTGCAGGTGGTTCCGCCTGGATGGGAGCAGAGGGTACAAGACTACTTTCAGGTGTTACATGCTCCAAATGCGTGCCTAGGCTACTGGGTGGTTGCAATGGCATTGATGCCGGAGGGCGCAGCTCATCAGTTTCCGCTGTGAGCCAACCCTCGGGTGGTGCACTTGGAGACTGTGTGGAATCGGCACCCGTAGCTTGGAGACTGTCGATGAACTGTGGCTGAGAATGGCTGCCGATCGCATCGGATGGTGATATCTCTGGTCGTGAGTAACTCGAGAGGAGGGTACTTGGTATGGATAAGGAGAAGGGAGGCATAACTTCCTCGTGACCTGGAGGATTTGATGGAGTGGGTATTGCAGCAGAGGATTCGCACGTCATACCAACACCTGTTACCTTCCGCTCGTTGACCAATGCGAAAAGAAACGGCTGCAGTCCATCACAACAGTCCGGCGGCCAGTACCTCTTTGCCACCTGGAGGGTTGGGAATGAGAGTGCCATTCCCTCTTGGATGCATGTGGGTGAGTAAGACTGCAAAGGAGCAAGTGGGACAGAGACAAGAGGAGAGCCGTGTCCTCCAGAATGCGCGTGGCTATCACCACCAGCCTGAAGGGTGCCATTGATTGAAAGGGGAATAAGCGCATCGTACACGATGTGAGATGGCGCGGAAAAGGCAGGAGAGAGGGTTTGGGAAACCGGGAAGAGAGATGAGGGAGAAGGGCCATATCCAACCGAACTCAAAGGAGTTTCGCCACTAGCCTCAGGGATCTCGGTGGTTGGGATCTGTATTTGTTGACCGGGCTGCGTCAGAGATGCTGAAGCGGCAGGTCCCCGACTGGCGATGGACTCTGGGAGTGGAGCAGAAACTTGCAGCGAGTGAACCGGAGCAGAAGGGGAAGGAAGAGGCATTGCTTGGGTGAAGTCTCCATAATCATAATAACCATAGGTAGGTGTTCCCTCTGCCTCGTGCTCGGTGGCAGGGACACTGCCATTGAATTGGGTATCGTACATTGGCCTGGGTGCTTCTGCCATGTTGGGAGCGGGCAACGGGTGACTTTTCAGCGGTAGGTGGGAAACGATGGGCTCTGAAGGAGGCAAAAAGTCCAAGCTACCAAAAGGGACTAATGGCGTCGCTACGGAACCCTCCATCCCCGTAGTCGCTTGGAAGCTTTCGGGAGACGGTGGCAGCCCAACATCAGCAGGTTCGCCTGCTTGTCGTGGACCGCTGTCCTGACCTCGCGGCATCCTGGGTGAGCTGGCAGCAGAACGATCTCCCGCAGCCAGAGGCATAGGTGACATTGTGAATCCAAGGTCAGGTGGAGTGGCTGGTTGACTTTGAGAGGCTGGCCCAGGAGCTGACTGCGAGCTCGGTAATGGCCTCAGAGGGGTGCTGACAAACAGCGGGCGAGTTGGAAGTGATGGTGCGGGAAGAGGTGCATACTCATAACCTTCCGGTTCGCTTTCTTGTTGGACATGTTTGGTAGCTGGAACGCTGGCATTTGATTGGCCATGGGAGGTTACATCAGGAGCTTCAGCCTGGACGGGAGCAGAGAGTGCAAGGCTACTTTCGGATGGTGGGTAATCCACATGCGTGCCTAGGCTACTGGGAGGCTTCAATGGTGTTGACGTCGAAGGGTACAGGTCGTTGGTCCCGGCCGTGGGCCCACCCTCAGGTGGTACAGTTGGGGACTTTGTGGAATGGGCATCGATAACTTGTAAGAAGTCCATGAAAGGTGGCTGAGAATGGCTGCTGATTGGATCTGACGGTGATGACCCTGGACTTGAGTAATTGGAGAGAGGGGTACTCGGTATGGATAGGGAGAAGGGAGGCTGATCTCCCTCCTGATCTGGAGGATTTGATGGAGTGGGTATTGCAGCAGAGGATTTGCACGTCATACCAACACCTGTTACCTTCCGCTCATTGACTAAGGCGAAAAGAAACGGCTGCAGTCCATCACAACAGTCCGGTGGCCAATACCACTTTGCCACCTGGAGGGTTGGGAATGAGAGTGCCATTCCCTCTTGGATGCATGTGGGTGAGTAAGACTGCAAAGGAGCAAGTGGGACAGAGACAAGAGGAGAGCCGTGCCCTCCAGAATGCGTGTGGCTATCACCACCAGCCTGCAGGGTGCCATTGATTGAAAGGGGAATAAGCGCATCGTACACGATGTGAGATGGTGTGGAAAAGGCAGGAGAGACGGTTTGGGAAACCAGGAAGAGAGATGAGGGAGAAGGGCCATACCCAACCGAACTCAAAGGAGTTTCACCACTAGCCTCAGGGATATCAGTGGTTGGGAGCTGTATTTGTTGACTGGACTGCGTCAGAGATGCTGAAGGGGCAGGTCCAGGACTGGCGATGGACTGCGGGAGTGGGGCAGAACTTTGTAGTGATTGAAACAGAGCAGAAGAGGCAGGTCCCGGACTGGCGATGGACTGTGGTTCAGTTGGAACTGATGGTGCAAAAAGAGGTGCATAATCATAATGTTCCTGTTCTGCTTCTTCTTGCCCATGCTCGATGGCTGGAATGCTGCCATTTGATTGGCTAATGGAGGTTGCCGCGGGTGGTTCCGCCTGGATGGGAGCAGAGGGTTCAAGACTACTTCCAGGTGTCACGTGCTCCAAATGCGTGCCTAGGCTATTGGGTGGTTGCAATGGCATTGATGCCAGAGGGCGCAGCTCATCAGTTTCCGCTGTGAGCCAACCCTCGGGTGGTGCACTTGGAGACTGTGTGGAATCGGCACCCGTAGCTTGGAGACTGTTGATGAATTGTGGCTGAGAATGGCTGCCGATCGCATTGGATGGTGATATCTCTGGTCGTGAGTAACTCGAGAGAAGGGTACTTGGTATGGATAGGGAGAAGGGAGGCAGATCTCCCTCCTGATCTGGAGGATTTGATGGAGTGGGTATTGCAGCAGAGGATTCGCACGTCATGCCAACACCTGTTACCTTCCGCTCGTTGACTAAGGCGAAAAGAAACGGCTGCAGTCCATCACAGCAGTCTGGCGGCCAGTCCCTCTTCGCCACCTGGAGGGTTGGGAATGAGAGTAGCATGCCCTCCTGGATGCATGTGGGTGAGTCCGATTGCAAGGGAGGAAGTTCGAGGGACGCATGTGGAGGGGGGCCATGTCCAAAATGCGCAGGGCTACCACCACCAGTCTGCAGGGTGCCATTTATTGAAAGAGGAATCAGTGCATCATACACAATGTGAGGTGGTGTGGAAAAGGGGGGAGAGTAGGTTTGGGAAGAAGAAACCGGCAGCAGAGATGAGGGGGAAGGGTCGTATCCAAATGAACTCGAAGGAGTTTCACCACTAGCCTTAGGCATTTCAGCGGTCGGTAGCTGTATTTGTTGACCGAACTCAGCGGACTGCACTAGAGATGCTGCAGGGGAAGATCCCGGACTGATGATGGACTGTGGGATAGGAGCAGATACATGCAGTGAGTGAATAGGAACAGAAGGTTGTGGGAGAGCCATCGTTTCCGAGAAGTCTTTATAACCGTAATAATCGTATGCCGGTGTTCCATGTGTCCCATGCTCGGTATGTGGGACACTGCCATTCAGTTGGGTACCAGACGTTGGGCCGGGTGCTTGCGCGAGGTTGGGAGCAGATATTGGGTGACTTATCCACAGTGGGTGGGAAACAATGGGCGCCGAAGGAAAAGTGCCCAGACTACCGAACGGCGATGATGGTGCTGCTATGGAACCGTCGATCCCTGTAGCCTTTTCGGAGCTTTCGGGAGGTAATGACGGCCCGATCTCAGGAGGTTTGCCTGGTTGTCGAGGACCACCACCCTGGCCTGGCAGCATCCCAGGTGAGCTGGCTGCAGACCAATCTCCTGCACCCAGAGGGACAGGTGCCACCGTCGATCTAAGATCCCCAATAGCTCCAGGTGGAGTGGATAGCTGAGGTCGAGAGGCTGGCCCAAGAGCTGGCTGTGAAATTGGTCGAGGGGCTCGTTCAGCTTGAGAGGCTGGCCCTGGCACCAACTGCAAAATTGATGGCGTGCTCAAAGGGGTGAGAACGAATGGCGGGCGAGACGGAACCAAGGGTGCCAGAAGAGGTGCATAATCTTCATCATTATCTTCCGGTTCTGTTTCTTCTTGTCCATGTGAGACAGCTGGAATGCTGCCATTTGATTGGCTAGTGGAGAGTAACGCAGGTGCTGCAGCCTGGATGGGAACAGACGGCGCAGCACTACTTTGAGATGTTGGCTTCTCTAAATCCATCATCCCAGAACTGCTGGGAGGCAGTGTCACTGGTGTCGATGTTGAAGGGTGCAGGTCATAATCAGTTCCTCCTGTGGGCCAACCCTTGGGTGGTGCACTTGGAAGCTGTGTGGAACCGGTGGCTCCCATAACTTGCAAACTGTCCATGAAAAGTGGCTGAGAAGGGCTGCCGATTGCGTCGGATGGTGATGCGCCGGGTATCGAGTAGTTGGAGAGAGGGGTACTTGGCATGGGCAAGGCGAAGGGAAGCAGATCAACCTCGTGCACTGGAGAATATGATGGAGTGGGTATTGGAGCAGAGGATTCGCACGCGATACCAACACCTGTTACCTTACGCTCATTTAGCAAGGCATATAGAAACGGCTGCAGTCCATCACAGCAGTCCGGTGGCCATTCCCTCTTTGCCGCCTGGAGGGTTGGGAATGAGAGTAGCATTCCCTCTTGGATGCATGTGGGTGAGTTAGATTGCAAGGGAGCAAGCGGGGCGGAGACAAGAGGAGAGTAGTGCCCTCCAGAATGCGCGTGGCTACCACCACCAGCCTGCAGGGTGCCATTGATTGCCAGGGGAATTTGTGCATCATACACGATGTGCGATGTTGCTGAAATGGTGGGTCCCGAAGAGTAGGCTTGGGAACTAGAAGCC